GTTGTAATGGAAAAAAATATATGATGTAATCAATATTTGGTATATATGTAGAAAATAAAATAAAATAAAATAAAATAAAAAATAAACAACAAAAAAAAATTAGAGAATAAGACTTTCTTGCTGTGCCCACCAGGATAATCCCAAAGAGAAGATGTTATAATTCTTTTTCTTTTTAAGAATTATTTAATTTTATTTATTCATTTATTTTAATTTGACCAGCATGAGAGAGAAAGTGGGAAAGCAAGCCACCAGGTCTGGGACTCAAACCGTGGTCAGTCACATCCAGCACCTTAACCACCACCCCACCTGCTGGCACTGAAAATGTTATAATTCTAACAATGGCCATTTAATTGTTAACAAAAATATTCAAAGAATAAGAAGGGGTCACTAACTAGCTGTATTAACTTGGTACATATTTTACTTAAGAACATCCTTTTTCTATTATTCTCAACTGTACTGAGCTCTGATCTGATCCCAATCATTGCTCAACTTGGTTCAATGTATACAGAATTTAATATAATAACAGGCTTTCTGTGGCATTAGAATGATAGTAAGACCTCGGGGTAAGGCAGTAATCTTTACTATGTGGTAGACAATACCTTGGCAAACCAGCAGTAAGTTTATTGGCAATTGATTTATAAATGGATTCCTCCTTAACAGTGTGATTATCATAAACTGGTTCTCAGATGCTTATCTAGTCTCTGAATTTACAGATTAGACCTCTGGTCCGAGTGAGTCAGAGGACTAGACACTGGCCCTAGGACTCCGTGAGTGGTGTGAGGCACCCAATTCCTCACTGAGACACAACCTATAGAATTCAGTCCACTTTTTTATTTTGGTTTTTTTGGGGGGTTTTTTTGGAGAGGTTTTTTTTCACTATAGGGCGCGTGCGCTCGCCAGACAGATAGAGAGAGACATAGAGACAGAAAACGAGAAATCACCCCCCAGAGGGGATGGTCACGCCGCAATCCCTTCTCCTCCATTCTCCTCTCGGGATCTTGGGCACACACGCACACGCGCACGGCGTGAGTTTAAGCCACCGGGTCCGGGACTCAAACCACAGTCGACTACGTGGGAGTCCAGCGACATAGCCATTACGCTAACTGCTGGTACCCTACAAACTTGTTTAGCTGTAAGAAGAGATACAAGCATCTTAAAGAATTTCTGTTATTGAAAATACAAATACACATCACTTAAAAAGTAAATCTTTCTTGTACCAGCCCTGTGGTTAAGGGAATGGAATACACATAGTTGACCACGCAGTTTGAATCCTGGCCCCAAAGGCTTGAAAACATGTTAACTGCATGTGCATGAGGTCCAAAACCTCAATGGGATGGAGAAATGGTAGAGAAAGAATTATAGCATGACCACATCTCATGGGAGGGGTGCTTTTTCTCTGTCTCTCTCTGACAAGTACACAACCAACTATTCTTTATAAGTCCAAACATACCAAAGAATTTCTGAAAGTTTTTGGAATATGTTTTATATTATATTATATTAATTTTAAAAACTATGCACAGAGGGACCAGGAGTTGGCGTAATGACTATGTCGCTGGACTCCCATGTAGTCAACCGCCGTTTGAGTCCCAGACGCGGTGGCTTAAACTCACACCAGTGTGTGTGCCTGTATGCCCAAGATCTCAAGAGGAGAATAGAGAAGAAGGGATTGCAGCATGGCCATCTCCCCTGGGGGGGGGGTGATTTCTCACTTTCTGTCTCTCTATTTAGTGAGCACATGCACCCTATAGTGACACTGTCATTCCCCTTCCATTCCACGGTTTCAGGACAAACACAGACAAGTTTACACCTCCAAGCAGGAAAATCGGGAATTTTTTTCTAGGGACACTAATTACTGGGTCTTCAGAAAAGTCATGTTTTTTTTTTGTTGTTGTTGTTTTGGAGAGGTTTTTGCTATAGGGCGCGTGCACTCGCCAGAAAGACAGAGAGAAATAGAGAGACAGAAAGCAAGAGATCACCCCTTAGGGGGGATGGCCATGCCGCAATCCCTTTTCCTCTACTCTCCTCTCGGGATCTTGGGCACGCACAAACAGGCACCTGGCATGAGTTTAAGCCACTGGGTCCGGGACTCGAACCACAGTTGGCTACATGGGAGTCCAGCGACATAGCCATTACGCTAACTGCTGGTCCCAGAAAAGTCATGTTTTTCTATGTAAAAATGTATCGTGACTTTTCCAACAACCCAAAAGCTAAAGAGGAAAAAACTTATAGATAACTAATACCAAACAATTTAGCAATACAAAGTAAGCTCACCATCCATCACCTTAGGAAGCATCTAGAGAACGAGTCCTGCCTGCCACATGATTGCTTTCAATAATCTTCTTAGGGACTCGCTCAAATCTACATGGCCAGCCCCCAATAAATGAGAAAGATCAAAATAAATGAATAGAGGAAGTCAGAAGAGACAATGTAGAGGTAAAAAATGTCAGGAAAATTATAATCAATAGCTTCAGAAAAAAAAGACACTACAGTCATGAAACTAGAAGAAAATGTCATACAACATAAACATTCTGATTATAAGAGTTCTTAGAATTAAAAACATAACGGTGGGAACAAACATTAAATAGGAGGAGAGTTTAAGATGGACATAAAGAACAGAAAAAAGAAAAGAAAAAGATCAATGTGAATCAGTCAAGAAGGACCAAGATCTACCAAATTTCAGAGAGAACAGAGAAAACAAAGAGAAAGAACTTGTCGAGAAAATGTAAAAAATCTTCCCTGGGGCCAGCAGATGGCGTAGTGGCTAAGGTGCTAGACTCCCAGATGGTTGACCACTGTTGGAGTACCTGACCCAGCGGCCTGAAACTCACAGTGGGGCTGTGTGTGTATGTGTGTTTGTGTGTGTCCAAAATCCAGAGAGAAGAATGGAGAAGGGACTGTGGTATGGCCATCCTCTCCCCTGGGAGAAGATTTCACACATTCTGTCTCACTGTCCCTCTCTGTGTCTCCAGCAAGCACACATACCCCATAACAAAAATCTCTCTCAAAAAAAAAAAAAAAATAGAAAGATATAAGCTACCGTATGAAAAGGTCTACCAAGTACTCAACACTCTACTTCCCCCAAAACAAAATGCTTCTAGAGAGAAATATATTCAAAGATTAATAAATCAGGTCATTTGACTTCTCTATAACCATACAAGTGACAATACAGTGGAGGAACACCTTTACATTCCTGAGGAAATTGATTTCCATTCCAGAACTCTATACTCAGCCAAGTATAAGGAAGAAATAAAGGCATTTTTAGGAATGTAAAAACTCTCAGACAACTTACTTCTCATTCATCGTTTCTCAGAAAGCTACTAGAGCATGTATTCCATCAAAACAATGGCCTAAACTTAGACAGATAAAGACATGGAATCCAGGAACTGGCCTTCCAACGAGAGAGTAGCAAAGAGGATTCCCAGTATAAGAGCAAAGTTCGTGGATATGACTGTGCAATAGACCTAAAGAACAACCTGATCAGGTTAGAGCAGAGAGCTGGAGAATTCTAAGACAATAACTCTACTTGGGGGAAACAGATACAATAAATGTTTTATCATGCACAAAATTGTATTGAAATATATTTTACAAAGCTGTTGCATGGTGTGAGAAAACCTAAGTGGCCAAAGAATAATAAGCAAGCAAAAAGAATAATAAAAGCATCTATTAACTCTGGGAAACAAAAAGTTATACAAAGGAATATATAGAACCAGCTGTGGGGACCAGCAGGTGGCGTGGTGGTTAAGGCGCTGGACACTCCCACATGGCCAACCATGGTTCAAGTCCTGGACCTGGTGGCTTGCTTTCTCCCTTCCTCCCTCCCTCTCTCTCTCTCTCTCTCTCTCTCTCTCTGTCTCTCTAGTCAAATTAAAATAAATGGATGGGGAGCAGCAGTTAGCGTAATGGCTATGTCGCTGAACTCCCATGTAGTCAACCGCGGTTTGTGTCCCGGACCCGGTGGCTTAAAACTCATGCCGGGCGCGTGTGCGTGCGTGCCCAAGATCCCAAGAGGAGAATGAAGGAGAAGGGATTGCAGTGTGGCCATCCCCCTGGGGGGTGATTTCTCGCTTTCTGTCTCTCTGTCTCTGTCTGTCTGGAGAGCGCACGCACCCTATAGCAAAAACCTCTTCAAAAAAATAATAAATAAATAAATAAAATGGATGAATAAATAAAATTAAATAATTATTTTTTAAAGAAAAAGAACCAGCTGTGACTATTTACTTATGTGTACTTTGAATACAAACATAACTATGGTGGAAATATGGAAGAAGGGTTAGGGCTAAAATCATCTCTCATATAATAAAAAATGTCAAAAAAATTTAAAGGAAATCTAATAATTAGCAATATAATCATGTTATTTAGAAATACAAAGGTAGGCATTCAAGCAGATGGTGTGGCGTTAAGGCGCTGGATTCCCATGTGGTCGAACATGAGTGCCGGACCTGGTGGCTTGCTTTCTCACTTTCCTTCTCTCACTCTGTCTCTGGTCGAATTCAAAAATAATAATAATAATAATGATAAATAAAGTTAAATAAAGAAAGAAATCCAAAGGTAGGGCCTGTAGCACAGCAGCTAAATCCTATATACAGAAAGCCAAATCCTGGGGCAAGCAGGAGTATACTGGTTAAGGCACTGGGACTCCCATGTGGTCGACCACAGTTCAAGTCCTAGACCCAGTGGCTTGAAACTCACTCCAGGCATGTGCGTGCCCAGAATCTGGAAGGAGAGCAGGGAAGAGACTGCAGTGTGGCCATTCCTCCACCCCCCATGCGTTGATTTCTCACTTTCTGTCTCAACCGTTTCTGTCTCTTCGGCAAGCACCCACATCCTACAGAAAAAATCTCTTACCACTAAAAAAAAAAAAAAATCCAAATCTCACATGGGCTACCACAGTCTAAATTCTGGCCTGGTCATTTGAAAAACATGCTGGGTGGGTGTGCATATGTGTCCAAGATCCTGATGAGAGGGAGAAATGGAGGAAAAAGGATTGTAGCATGACCATGACCATGCCCCATTAGGGATGTGCTTCTCTCTCTCTCTCTCTCTCTCTCTCTGTCAGGTACATGCAGTCTCTGGCAATAAGAAAAAAATAAAATGAAAATGTGAAAGTAAATATCAGAACACTAAGAGTTATATTTGCCTCTGAGACAGAAGAATTAGTAAGAGGAGTAGAAAGGAGACAACAACCTTTGTTTATAACGCTTACTGGTACTAATGAATTTCAGTGATAAAAATTTAATAAACATACATAGAGCAATAGTGGAATAGATTTTCTTTAAATGGCAAAGGTTTAGGAAGTAATTAGTGGTCACTACATATCAAAAAAAGAGTCTGCATCATCACAGTCCAATGAACATCTTAATCGTGGAGATCTATCACCTGCCTGGCCTATAGAACCTCAGCCAGAAGTAACCCGGAAACTGCTTTCAACAGTCCCCATTGAACAGGCAGGCAAACTAGGCCTGTGGAACTCCCATGTCCTCTGACCGCCAATACCTACCCTCATTCCAAAGAGGTGGAAACAAATGACAGCAGCACAAACAACTGCTGCTACCACTTACTGAACACAGGAATCAGTCATGACACTAAATTTCTCACAGTCATGATTCTTCCTTCATCATTTCAAAGCCCTATGAAATTGGTTTTAATGTCTTCTCAATATTAATAACAAGAAAACTTGAAAGCTCAAAGAAAAAGACATGAAGCTAACAGCAACAGTATTAGTTAATATCTGAGCACTTCCTGAGGGCTAGATACTATGCTACACTTTTTAAAATTTATTTCTCATTATTCAATTTGACCAGAGAGAGAGAGAGCGAGAGAGAATGTAAGAAAGTAAGGTCCGGGACTCAAACTATGGTTTGCCATGTGGGAGTCCAGCACCTTAACCACTATGCCACCTGCCGGCCCTGCTATACTACACTCTTAACATGTATTAATTCATTTCACTCTCAGAGTAGCCCTACATGGGTATCATTCACATAACCATTTTTTCAGAGCAAGAAGGAAGTAAACTTAGAATCTCTGGGTAATATGCCTAAAGGCAAAGAGCTAGTAAAAAAGACAGAATTCTAGACCAAGTCCACTCTGATTCCAGAGTGCTCTAATTCCTGCCTCCCAGGAGGGCTACAAAGGATCAAAGCCAGGACTCACACACAGAAAAAGAGGAAGCCAAGAATCCTGTAATCTGCAGACAGTTACCATTTCTGGACATTATAAACAAAGCATAAAGGTAGGTTTGAAGGTGATTTATTGGGATGCAAAGGAAAAAAACAGAAACCAAGTGAACATTCACACCCATAGGATCATCAGAAAGCATTCCCTTATCTCCAGTCCTAATACCTTTTATCAGCTAGATTAAGGGGTCAAACCAGTACATCAAAAACCAATCTGCTATGGAAAAATGACTTTCAAAATTACATCTATACACCAGCAGCTTGGACGGCGGGAAGAGTAGTAGGGTTTATCCGCTAAACTCCTCAAAGGCTCTAGGCGCGCCTCATCAGGCACCTAACATGCACCCTGTCTGCAGCCAAGATGCCCAAGAAGAAGGTCAGCTCAGCCGAGGGGATGGCCAAGGAAGAGCTCAAGAGAAGATCAGCGAGACTGTCAGCTAAACCTGCTCCTGCAAAAGTGGAGACGAAGCCAAAAAAAAGCAGCAGGGAAGGATAAATCTTCAGACAAGAGTGCAAACAAAACGGAAAAGGGTAGCAAAGGAGAAACAGCCTGAAGTGGCCAACCAACACACTAAAGATTTACCTACAGAAAATGGAGAAACTGAAAATAAGGAGAGTCCACTCTCTGATGAAGCAGGCGAGAAAGAAGTCAAGTCTGAGTAGTATCATATACCATGTCTTATCAATGGTCCCTGTCTCCGTTCTTGTACAATCCAGAGGAATATTTTTATCAACTATTTTGTAAATGCAAGTTTTTTAGTAGTGCTAGAAACATTTTTAAGGAGAGAATTCCACCTCATGCCATTTTTTCAGTGTAAATGCTTTTTTAAAGAGGTAAAATCATTTACCAGTTGTTTATTTTTTGGTACAATCAGAAAATAGTGGGATATTGACATACAGTAGGCTTTGACTCTCTTACATGTCAGCTTAACATTCCATAGGTGGGGACGGCTGGGTGGTTTTTATATCCTAAATGCAAAGCATACTAAATGGCAGTTTGGAGTCACAGTCATGCATTTAATGTGTCTTGAATATTTTAAATTACTTCTATTATGTTTTTTAGTAGTATTGTTTCCTAAAGAAAAGCACTCTTTGACTGTTGCTCTGTCAGAATTGTGTGCACTCTGTAATGTCTTTGGTCGTGGTAGTCCAGTTTTCCTAATCATTTTGTTAATGTGCTCTGAAAGATTGGAAATTTGAAGTATGTAGTGTGTATGATACTAAATTGTGATTTTGTGGGACTTACATATCACCTTTCAACATCTGAAGACAGTGGTTCTTGATATTCTCTTAAGGAAAATTTGCCTACACATTTGAAGCTGGAATGTCATGGAATAACTTACAAAGAATCACTATACTTAGCTTTTAAATTTTTGGTACATATGTTAAGAACTGGGTACAAATTGAAATGTCTGTACTGATCCTTGACACAACTAGCAAATCTCAATTACAAAAGAAAAAAAATTACATCTATATATCCTCTTTCTATTCAACTCTTTACACCATGATAAGAAAACAGAAGTGTAAAGAAGTTTTTAAGGTCCCTCTAAATAACACAAATGAGGATATTCTACATTATGAAACTCAATATAACACAGGAAGCACTCTTGAACGAGTGCCTGTGCAAAAGTCCTAACTCCCCTCCAAGATTCATTTCGGCATCATTTGCCTATTTGTGACTTGAAGCAACAATCATACCTTAATTTCATTGTCATTTGCAAAATTGCCAAAAGAAGCCATAATTTTGGGAACTGCAGCAGCCAAGGTTTCTTGGACTGATTCCTCAGGTCTCTTGCTGGTCCGGGTTAGGCATGGCAGAAGATTTACCAGGTAAGGCCTGCACATGTGAAAGGAATATTAGTTATTCTTCCAGGCAACCTTCAAGGAGAAATATAAGTAATTAATTCCCTGTTGAGGAAAATCAAGTTTTATTTGCAAAAAAAAAAAGTCCTTAATAGAGACTGGACAAAGCTCAGCTAAAAGAATATGAGGACTAAATAGAGATGAAGTTCAAATGTTGAAAGACATGTCCTTCCTTTCTCCTATGATCATAGAGAAATCTATAAAGATAGGTTTAAAAATGATTTACAGTAAGCCATACAGTTACCAAAATATCCAATATTTAACTGGAAAATAATAGATAATATAAGAAAATATCACTTTAAAATCAAGAGTTTAAAAAATGAAAATGAAGCTTTCTTGAAAAAGGAGCATTACAGGGAACCAGCAGTTAGCGTAATGGCTATGTCGCTGAACTCCCACGTAGTCGACCGCGGTTCGTATCCTGGACCCGGTGGCTTAGAACTCACGCCGGGCGCGTGTGCGTGCGTGCCCAAGATCCCGAGAGGAGAGTGGAGGAGAAGGTATTGTGGCGTGACCATCCCCCTGGGGGGTGATTTCTCGCTTTCTGTCTCTATGTCTCTCTCTGTCTGTCTGGCGAGCGCACGTGCCCTATAGCAAAAACCTCTCCAAAAAAAAAAAAAGGAGCATTACAGAATAGATTTTTTTTTAAAGTGTACAAACCAAATAAGGTCTTAGAGATAAGACTTAGCCCTATAGAGAGTAAAAGCAAAATGTTTAGCAAACCAGAGAAGTGAGTCACAGGATAGACAAGCCCAAGACACATGAATTCAATGAACGAATACTTCCTACGGAACAGCCTTGTGGGGAGGAAGGAGAAGGCCTGGATGGCATGGCCTCAGTTCTCTAGTGGCTGGACAGTCAAAAGCAAACCCACGACTTTTATGACGCAAATACCACAAAATACCTAGGAAGGCTGGGTTGGCCTTTAAAGAGGTGACATTTTTGCTGAGACCTGAGGGATTTAAAAAAAAGTGTCAGGAGAAAAGAAACCCGACTTGTATAAAGAACTAAAATGAGGCTAGTGAGTCAACAGAGTGTATGAAGTGATGAGCCTGCGTGAACATATTACTCCGGGATTCAGTGAGGAATATGAATTTTATCTGAACAATACTAGGGAATGATTTAGAATTTAAGGAAGGGAATGATACAATCTAATTTTATTTTTAAGGTCAGTTTAGCTGTTATGTGGAGAATTTGGAGTATATATTGCTCCAGAAATATAACAAATCTTTCTAAGGGTAGTAAAAGAAAAAAGGTCATATGAAAGAAATTTCCTTGGTCATTGTGTCTCTACTGTCATATTAAGAGCCTTTGTTGTTGTTAGAAGACTCGTGTGCCCACCAAAGAAAGACAAAGAGACAGAGAAAGAGGGAGAGGAGAAAGCACACAGCATCACCCTCCTCCCATGGGGAATGGTCACATGGTAATCCCTTCTCCTCCATCTCTCCCTTCCTATGAGATTTTGGGCACACATGAACATACACCCAGCATGTTTCTCAAGCCACCAGGTCTGGAACTCAAACTGCACAGTCACTTATGTGTGATCCAGCCACCTTAACCACCAGGCCATAGAGCCCCATAGAAAACTCTTACTGAAACTCAACTTCAATAGAATAAATCATTGTTTCACACTAATTGTGAGACTTTAGCCCATTCTAGCAGTTACTCAGAGGTGGAGCCGACAGTGTATCACACATCAGCATGTTTTGCTGGTCAGAAAGAGAAGGAAGGAGCTGATAAAAACAGTAGTCGTGGGGACCAGAAGATAATGTAATGGTTATGGCACAGAACTCCCACATAATTGACCATGGTTCAAGCCTCACACCCAGCGGCTTAAGGTCACGCCAGGTACACATGCATGTGTGCCAAAAATTTCAAGAGAAGAATGTAGGAAAAGGGATTGTGTCATGGCCATGCCCCCCTCCCCCCCAGGGGTGATTTCTCACTTTCTTTCTCTCTGTCTCTTTGGCAAGTGCACGTACCCTATAGCAAAAATCTAAAAAAAAAAAAAAAGTCCTGCTAGATATTAAGAAAGAACTGTTTCAGGCTGTCTCTGTGGCCTAGTGGTTAAGGGAACCAGATCCCACATGGCCAATCACAGTTCAAATAACGGCCCCAGAAACTTGAAAAATACACCAGGTACATGTGCATGCATGCCTAAAATCCTGACAAGATGGAGAAAGAGAAGTGACTTCTCCCATGCCCCACTAGGGGGAGTTCTCTCCATCTCCTTCTCCCTCTGTCTGTCTGTCTGTCTCTCTCTCTCTCTTTGGCCATGTGTGCCCTCTGGCAAATTTTTTAAAAAGCCTCTTACTCCAGTTGAAACTATCAAGACTGATTCCAATAATCAAAACTTTATTCTCAGTTTAGTTTTCATATTTCTTAACTCATGTAATAGACAAATGCACCCTTTTCTATAACTCCTATAGTTGATGATAATGAAGTTACTAGTACCTCAACCTTTGACTATTTGTCAAGTATCTTTCAAGCAAATATTATGTGCAAACACTGTTATCAGTGTTGGCATACAGCACAGAACAAGACAGTAAGACCCTACAGTCCTGGGGCACATATCTCATAAGCCTTTAGAGGACGCACAATAAAGTATACAAGAATATTTCTGATAGGGATTAGTGCTATGAAGGAACATCAACAGGACAATGTTGACTGCAATTTGGAGGGGCAGAGTTGACAGAGAAGACCAATGAAGAACTGATGTTTGGGCTGAGAGGTAAAGGAGCAGTAGGAGTTATCTCCCTCACCCCCCACCAAAAATAGTAACAATCCAGGGTATTCAATTTACCTGCATTTCTGGGGCCGAACCAAGTGAGCCAACTCAGCAAACCTCCACAGGGCTGCACGCAAACTTCGAGGGGCACCATTCTGAGCAGGATTATGAATGACGAGTTATGTCATCAAGTAGTTGTCATATAAGCAAAAACATTTCTTTCACTGTTAATTCCAGGTTTATATAAAAGGCCATTTAAATCTATAAAACATCTAGTATTTAACTTTAGAAATCTTAAAATCTAATGGGATTTGATTATAAAGACAAAATTACCATTTGTAATTCCGATCTCATCTAATAAATACAAACAGCCACTCTTTGAAGAAAAATAAAACAATAAAGGTCTATTTTACCAAGTAGCAGTTCATTCTAACATTTTTACTTATTAAATAAAACATAAAATTTCACACACACTATTCAATATAATGAAATGGTGTAATTTTTTCAGTCAGTAATGGAAAATAAAAGCCTACCTTTTTAATTTCCTTATAGAGTTCTAACTGCAACCTCGGGAGATTAGAATCCATCAAAGCCTACACAAAATGCAAGAAATTTATTTACAAAAGATTCATTCCATTAGTAGTACTAAAGAAAACCAAAAGGCAACTAAGATTTCAATTTTGAAGCAAAGTTAAATAGCAACTAAATTAAGAACATATTCATTAAGAAAGAAAGGCGCAAATATATACAGAAAGTCACTGAATAAGCTAGATCTATATAGGTCATTCACTTAATTTTAATGGAAGGAAAAATAATTTAACTTATGCTCATTGTAATAAAATACTACATAATATCAAAATTGAAATGGTGATTTAAATTAATTCTAAAACTCTTAAAGTAACTTAGTGTTTATTAGCAGTACATTCTGCTGAAAGCCACAAGCTCAGGTGATGCCCTGGAATGTTTACAGGGCCTAGAGGGCTGTGCTTCTAAGATCAGAATCCCCTCACTCTGGCCAATAACACTTCTTGGGGCAGAATCCAACTTTCATTCTGAAGGTCTGATCCCTCTTCACTGGCAAGGATGCTCACAATCCCACAGCCCCCAGCAACTCAGAGCCCAAAGCCAGTTGGGAGCCTCACATTCCTCACAGCATATTTCTGGCCCCTCCTTGCTTACCTGCAGAGCTAAGCCAAAAATAACATCCATGTAAGCCAACTTCAACCTGGTAACAACAGCTAATGACATCAAGTCTACATTAGAGAAGAGTTTCTTTAGGAACAGGGAAAACTGCAGCATCCACCTGCAGCACCCACACATGTGAACCTTCCCTCTTATAAAATAGTACTGCCATCGCCTGCCTACCAAGAAGAGTAGAAACTGTAGCTAAGTCTCACTCAAAAAGCTCTCTTCCCTTCAATGTGATGTATATCTTCTAATGTCTACAAACTGAGATGGTTTTAGTGGAACTCATGTGGGTTTACCTACTAGTTCAGCAAACGTGTAAATCAAAACCTGAGTCACATTTTAGGAGATTCTGAAGTACAAAGTCTCACAAGTGTTCAAATTCGCATTCTGCTATTGGAATGTCTACTAAAAGCCCTTAAGGGGGCAAACCAAATGGACAAACATATATTAAAATACTAATTTTCAAATAAAACCAGATGACATGTCAAAGTTTCATTCAGCTTTATACATGTATTATCGTCTAATAGCAAAGTTATTTTATAACAAGAGAAAATAAAAACTCAGCCCTTCAACAGAACGTGAATGGTCTCTCACAGTGGGCAGTTCCAGGGTAGCAGGGATACACCATCTGCTTCCTCCTCCCCTTGCACCTGCTTCCATACAACATGCACTCGGCTGCCAAATCCAGCCCTTTAGAGCCCACTGCCGCCTCCTCAATCACCATCCCAGTGCCACCATGCGAGTGCAGGATGCCACTCTCTCTGATCTGGATCACTCAGGTTCCCACCTAGATTCTCTCTCAATAGGCCCTTCTCTACTCCATACCATCTGCAAGTCCTCACAGGGTAATTCCTGCCAAAGTAATGCATTTCTCTGAGCAGGGCAAAAGTCTTCAAGAACACCTTATCTGCTACCGAATGAAGTACAAAGCCTCTGACCTGACCCTCAAGGTGCCCCGCCCTCCACTTTGAGCCTCATGAGCTTCCCAGTACCCCCTCAAGGCTAGAGGCCACAGCAATCAAGGACTCCAAAATATTCTTTCACCTACTGGTACTATTTTCAGGAAGTCTTCTGTGGCTCCCTAGACAGAAATCGCCTCAGCCTCCAGACTGCCATAATGATTTCCCACAACCATGCAGAACCTGAGGATGACAGCATGAGAGGAAGCAGAAATCTGAGAGTAGCCAACCTCACCATGCTGAACTTGAAGTGAAGAAAAAGACTGTGAGACTCACTCTATCTCATGTTCAGGAGTATAACATAAGAAATTGGAATCCCTGCATGTAGAAAATAAAAACAAATAAGATAGAAAAAGTATGGAGGCAGAAAGAGAACTTAGGACCTAACGCTACAACCTAGGGCTGTGTCCTAACAGTCACCAACAGACTGTAAGGCACTATGTCCAATAATTCTTGGAAAATAGGTCTCTGATGAAGACAGGCTTAAAAACAGAACATCTCCTTATACTATCAGAGCAGTTTTTGGTCATATTGTACTCTTTGCCATGAATGAAAGCAACCTGCAGTAGCCCTCCTCTTACATGTTCTGACTTTGAGGATTAAAGATCAAGAATTGAAACATCAGCCAGCCACAGTGTCACAGCAGTAACACAACGCTCCACAATGCTGAAGGCACACAGGGAGGTCCCAGGTAAACATTCCAGTATCTCCTCACACATGCCTGGCACATATGTAGCTATGACCCTGTCCAGGTGAGGATAAGGGTGGATTGCAGTATGAAGACCCTGGTGGGGATGCTTCTTCCTCTCCCCCTCTCCCTGTCTCTCACAAAAGAAAGAAATTTAAAAAATAAAACAAAACAAAACAGCCTGGTTCTACCAGTGGAAAGAGTAAAAGTAAGCAAAGATACCTAGACCTGGAGAGAAGCAAGCAGGTCATTAGCAAATATGTTGTAGGATGTCACCCACATTTGAGGGTCACCAGTGAACCACCAGGCCCAGAAAACAAGGTGAAACTAACTCTGGCTAATATATCATTGCATCATTACATGATACAAGCACAAGCATGGAGTACAGATAGATGGAGAAGACAAGGTGGACTATTCTAGAGATGAAAGAGGGACCTCCTGGGACTAGCAAATGGCATAATGGTTTCATCACCGCACTCCCACATACTCGACCGCGGTCTGAACCCCAGACCCAATAGCTTGAAACTCATACTAGGTAAATGTGCATGCATGCCCAAAATCCCAAGAGGATAATGGAGAAGGGACTATGGCATGGCCATCCCACCCCCATCCCCTGTGGGTCATTTCTCACTTTCTGTCTCTGTCTCTCTGGCAAGTGTACGTGCCCTATACCAAAAATCTCTCTCTAAAACAAACACAAAAACAAAAATTCACACTGGGCACATGTGTATGCATGCCCAAGATCCCGAGAGGAAAACGGAAAAGGGATTGTGGCATGGCCATCCCCCCAGGGGATGATTTCTTGTTTTCTGTCTATCTAGCAAGTACATGCACCCTATAGCAAAAATCTCTTTAAAAAAAGAAAATAAAAAAGAAAAGAAAAAGGAAAGAGGGACCTTCCCAAAGGCTGCTTTGAGAAAGCTGGATCCATGAAAGCATAATTTCTTGACTCCTGTAAAATCTGACCACTCTGGGGGCCAGACAGCAGCATGGTTGGGTGGTTAGGGTGACTAGATCCCAAAGAATTAAGTGTGCAGTTTGAATCTCAGACCCAGCAGCTAAGGAACGTGCAAGGCACGTGTGCATGTGTGCCTGAAAGTCCTAAAAGAAGAGTAAAGGAGAAGGGATTGCAGAGTGGCTATCTGCCATAGGGGATCTGTCTGTTTCTGGAGAGTATACATGCCCTATAGCAAAAAAAAATAAAAATAAAAATAAAATAACCACTCTGCAAAGTAAGACCTTAGGAAGAGACTAAAAAACTGTTTTGTTTTTCAAGATACTAACAATGAAGGGAAATAATCAACCTTACCTATACTAGGTAAGAGCTCTTTGTTCATCTGGCCAAGTAAGTATTACTAGGACAAGTGCCTTCAAAGAAAATGAACAGACTTTTCTCAAAGTCATATCCAAATGACATGGTTGAAACTCAAAGCAATATGGGGGAAGAGAGAAAAAAAAAAAAACTAGAAATATCCAATAAACAAGGATCCCTACAGAAAGGGGAACAAGACACATGCTCTCTCTAACCATCATCAAAAGAGTTTTTCACCCTGGAGTGGATTCTGTCCTGCATGGCTGTTTTTGGAAGCCATAGTCATTTATCTCCACCCACTTTCTCACTCATCTAAGTGCATGCCATCACCCCATGAAAGAGTCGATAGACATGAGTGCCCGAGGCCCCAGAACTATCTTTTCGGTTATGAACTAAAGGCTGACAAAGATTATCACTTTAAAGTGGATAATGATGAAATGAACACCAGTTATCTTTAGGAACAGTCAGTTTAGAGGCTAGTACAAAGCATGAATTGCATTGTTGAAGCAGAGGCAATGAACTATGAAGGCGGTCCAATTAAAGTAACACTGGCAACACTGAAAATGTCTGTACAGCCAATGGTTTTACTTGGGGGCTTTGAAATATCACCACCTGTGGTCTTAAGGTTTAAGTGTGGTTCAGGGCATGTGCATAGTAGTGGACAGCACTTAGTAGCTGTGGAGGAAGATGCAGAGTCAGAAGAGGAAGAGGACATGAAACTCTTAAGTATATCTGGAAAGCAATCTGCCCCTTGAGGCGGTAGCAAGGTTCCACAGAAAAAAGTTAAACTTGCTGCTGATGAAGATGATGACGATGCAGATGATGATGATGATGATGATGATGATGATTTTAAGATGAGGAAACAGAAGAAAACACCCCAGTGAATAAATCTATACAAGATACTCCTGGCAAAAATGCTCAAAAATCAAAACAGAATGGAAAAGACTCAAAATCATCAACACCAAGATCAAAAGGTCAAGAACCATTCAAAAAACAGGAAAAAAACTCCTAAAACACCAAAAGGACCTAGTTCCGTAGAAGACATTAAAGTAAAAATGCAAGTAAGTATAAAATAAGCACACTGAACGGTCCTGGGCACTACTGGTAAACTAAGCCCAAAGATGGGGAGAGAAGAAAAGGAGAGAAAAGTCAGTCCATTCTGAGTATCATCAACAATCCAGATTGAAGACTTCTATTTTAATCTCAATCCCTTTTCCTGATTTGCCACCCACACCACCTTTAGGATGGAAGCAATCCCTTTCCTAAAGTACTTTCTTTTGACTAGTGTGATTCAGTGAACCTTACGCTGCTTTCTATCACTTGTACATCTGCCTCACCTTTTGACCATATTTCAATCACCTTTGTATTGCCATAGCTGCTCAATATTTGAATCAAAAAAAAAAAAGTTTTTCTAAAGTATAAAGAATCGTGTCAAAAATCTCCCTCAGCACTGGTCAGTCTATGATGGATATCTCTTCAATTTTAGAAACCAAATTAAAAAGGCCTATACACAACTCAAAAGTGCTAGAGAAAGATAACCACACTAAGGGAAGGAGACAACACTGAGTTGGGGATTCATAACAGGAGAGAGGCAGAACGATAAAAATAAGGGTAGTTTGCTTCTCCATTGACATGCATTAAGAATCGGAACATGGGGGAACCAGCAGTTAGCGTAATGGCTATGTCGCTGGACTCCCACGTATTCGACCACGGTTCACGTCCCGGACCCGGTGGCTTAGAACCCACGCCGGGCGCATGTGCGTGCGTGCCCAAGATCCCGAGAGGAGAATGGAGGAGAAGGGATTGCAGCGTGACCATCCCCCCTGGGGGGTGATTTCTCGCTCTCTGTCTCTATGTCTCTCTCTGTCTGGTGAGTGCATGCGCCCTATAGCGAAAAACCTCTCCAAAAAAAAAAAAAAAAAGAATCAGAACATGGAAGAAGGACTTTACCTGTCCATGGGCAGCAGAAAACAGAAATAAGCAAACAGTAGATTAAAATTACAGTGATCTTGAGTACTCATGTGTTTATCAGATTTTGCCCCCAAAATATCAGAAAAATACATGGCACCAGTCGTTTTCACATCTTCAGACAATATACATCCAAAAACAACTGGCTTTACATTTCATTTCCTCTTCTTCCACTTTCTGCCCTTTAAAAAAATAAACCTCAGGTGGTATTATCTGTTGAAGATAATTTTATAGTTTTATCAACTGAACTAGGGAGAAATGTTCACATGTTGAAATATTCACTTTGTAAGCTAAATAACATGGTTGAATGTGTAAAAGAAAATGAAATAAAAAAATATTTTAAAAATAAATAAATAAAAATAAACCTCAGGCTGGTTTGAGGTTACAGCTTTCTCCATCAGAGAAGTTGGGCCCATCCAATCCTCACTTTCTTATATTTGTGTGTCTTTGTGTGTTTGTTGTTACATTTATTTCTAATCCACAGCCTCCCCACTCAGAACCTGTGTTCTGCTGAGCGAGTCTCGGCAGGTACACTCGGCACAGAGAAGAATTACAGAATAGGACACACGTCCCTGTCTCTCTCACTCTCTCACCTCATCTATACTGCTACCCAATAACCATGGCTTTCTAGTTTCATTAACTTTTTTAGGATTTCCTTTCTCTCCATTCATGTCACACTAAGTCTACCTAACCTACTGATTCTGTAAGTCACATCTCTACCCACAGGGACTGCTACTTACCCAGGTCTTAGGAGGGACAAGGAAAGGCACCAAAGAAAGGAAATCTAAAGACATTAAGCCAGACTTCATTCACCCAGTCCCTGCTTCCCCTAGGAATCAAGGGATCGCTGGGCTATGCCTAAACAAAAGTCATTATCTGTGGCAACATTTTTCCCAAGAGTACTTAGTGGCTCCATCAGTGCACTTCACTGACCTATGGCACTGTGCAGGTACAAGGGCAAACACAGCCCCGTGACTCAGCAAGCATGGCAAACATGTAAGCAGGTATTGGAGCAACTCCAATTCATTCAACAGAAATGAAAAGTGAGCAGACAATCTAAGAGACTCTGTTACTCAACAGAAAAATGCTAAACAGTGCCTTCTTTAGCCTACAAAGGAGAACAGCTCCGAGAACACTGTCCACATGAATCTTACTTTTATAACTTTGTTGAGGCATTCATCAGCCACCATCCTGACATCTGACTCTGCATCATCACTGCACAGCAGAAAAAGTTCCATAGCGATGCCGAGAAGTTTCTGAAATTCTGGAGAATTTCTAAGAAGAGAAAGAAGAGAAACTGTCACATCCAAGATAGCCTAAGGAGACAAAATGAAGTATTTGGTATTCTGGATAGAATTTTTAAAAATAAAAAGGACATTACATAAGAATTAAGGTCATCCAGGAGCCAGCAAATAGCATAGTGCTTAAGGTGCTGGATTCCCACATGGCTGACAGAGGTTCAAATCCCTGATCTAGTGGCTTGAAAATCACATTCGGGTGTGTATGAAAGTGTGCACAAAACCCCAAGAAACTAGAGGAGAAGAAATTGTGCCATGGTCATCCTCTCTCTTCCCTGGGTGGGGGAGAGGGGGTAATATTTCACTTTCCTTCCCTCTGTCTCTCCAGAGAGCATACACATCCTATGGCAAAAACCTTAAAAAAATAAAATCGGGACCAGCAGTTAGCATAATGGCTATGTCACTGGACTCCCACGTAGTCAACCGTGGTTTGCGTCCCAGACCCGGTGGCTTAACACTCACACCAGGCACGTGTGCGTGCATGCCCAAGATCCCAAGAGGAGAATGAAGAAGGGATTATGGTGTGGCCATCCCCTCTGGGGGGTGATTTCTCACTTTCTATCTCTCTGTCTGGCGAGTGCATGCACCCTATAGCAAAAACGTCTTAAAAAAAAAAATTTAAAGACATCTGAATGAAGCACAGATTTTAGTTAATTCTATACTAATACTGATGCGCTAACTGTGAAAAATGTACCAAACTAACGAAAGAGGCTAACAACTAGAGTAACTGGATATTTGGTATATGAGAACTCTATACTACCTTGATAATTTTTCTACAAATCTAAAACTATTCTAAAATAAAGTTTATTAGCAAAAAATTTGCCTTATATTTGCAAGACAAACTTCATTTTTTCTCTTCATTTAAGTTTAATTTAAAAGCTTTAGGTGAAAAAGTCTTCATTTTAATCTTTGAATTTGAGAGACACTTTTACTGGAAATAGAATCTGAGGGTTCTTACTCTCAGTACTTAAAGATGAAGTTCTGCAGTTATTCTTTTTTTTTTCTAAGAGAGAAATTTTTGCTATAGGGCGTGTAGGCTCACCAGAGAGACAGAAAGCGAGAAATCATGCCCCAGGGGATGGCCATGCTGCAATCCCTTTCCTTCCATTCCCCTCTCGGATCTTGGGCACATACCCACACACACACACACACAAGCCCACCATGAGTTTCAAGCCACCAAGCCTGGGACTTGATCCAGAGTCAATTATGTGGAAGACTGGCGATGTAACCATTACACCATCTGCCGGTCCCCTGCAGTTATGCTTATATTAGTTCAATTTGGGTCTTTTTTTAATGTCTTGTCTCTACTTAACATACTCAGTCTTTGTGCTAGCTTCTTGAATATATGAAATGCAATTACAATAACTTTTTAATATTTAGGGTACTACTTTCTGGGTCAATTTCAGGGCCAATTTCAGCTGACTAATTTTTCTCATAATGAATCATATTTTCCTGAATCTTTGCTTTCCCAGTCATTTTTGATTGGATGTCAAAAATCAAGACTTTCATTTTGTTGGATACTACGTACTTTTGCATTCCTATAAATATTCTTGAGGACTGGCTCCATGGCCTGGTCGTTAAGCTAGCCAGATCTCACAAGGTCAAGCCCGCAGTTCAAGCTCCAGACCAGGTGGTTTAAGAAACACACTGTATGTGCATGTCTAAAATCCCAACATGATGGAAAAGATGGAGAACAAATTGTGGCATGACCATTCTCCATGGAGGGTGCTTTCTCCTCTCCATTATCTCTCTCTGGCAAAACCTTAAAAAAATAAAACAAAACAAAACAAACTAGCTATAGATATACACGTATGTATGCATGTGTGTGTGTGTATTATATATATTTTTGAACTTTGCTCTGGAATATTATTAAATTACTTTGAAAGAGTTCGACCATACTTTCTAAGTTTTGCTTTTAAGCTATAATTAGATTGGCTCAGAGTAACATTTTAAGACTAGCATTAATAGAAAAACCCTTCTGAGGACTCTACCCAATGCCCGATGAGAGACATATTCTTCCACTCTGGCCAGTGTGGTTAGAAATTTGACCCTGTATGAATTTCAGTGATTATTCCTTTGTTTGATGCCCAATGCCTTTAAACAACTGTCAGACATAACAATTATTACACATTTTTCATCTATTTTCAATTGTTTCAAAGCAAAAAGATAAGTGCTGTCCTTATTACTCTTAGAAGCAAATTTTTTTCAAGATTTTCAACTTGATTTCAAACAAAGAAAAAAGACAGGATCTTGTTATTGTGATCCTCTTACCTCAACCTCCCAGTTAGGACTGCAAGCATGTATCATCAGTTCTGACTCTTATTTTTTTAAAAGAAATTTTTGCTATGGGGCGCATGCACTCGCCAGAGAGACAGAAACCGAGAAATCACTGCCCCCATACCAGGGGGATAGCCACACTGCAATCCCTTCTCTTCCATTTTCCTCTCAGGATTTTGGGCATGCACCCACACACACCTGGCATGAGTTTTAAGTCACTGGATCCTGGACTCAAACCATGGTCAACTACATGGGAATCTAGCAACGTAACCATTACACTATCTGCTGGTCCCAGATCTGACTCTTCATAAGACACAGTCTCACTCTGTAACCCAGGCATCTTAAACTCATGATTGTCCTTCGTCTCTGGGATTACAGGTGTAGTCTACTACACGTAGCCTTTAGATTGGACCAGGAATCAAACCCAGGCCTCCCATGTGATCCTAGCCTGCAGACCATAGTATCTTAGGAACACTGTGCTACCACAGGGTACATGTACTAACCAGAAAGTGAGAGACAAAGACAGAGAGGAGAGCCTCTCCCAATGGAATATGGCCACACCACAATCCCTTCTTCTCCATTTGTCTATCCTATTGGGATTTGGGGCACATACATAAACCAGGCATGTTTGTCAAGTCACCACAGCCAGAACTCTTAACTGCAGTAAGCCATGTAGGATCTAGCTCCCTAAATCACTACAGGGACAAAAATCACCCCCAGGAGAGATGGTCATACTTCATTCCCTTTATCCTCCTCTCAGGATTTTGGGCATTCACACACATGACATGTTTTTCAAGCTGCTGAATTGTGTACTTGAAACCAAGTATCAGCTATGTGAGATCCAGCACCTTAACCACCATGCCATCTCCTGGACCAGCCATGCTAACTATTTTTTAAAATATTTTTTAGAAATGTATTTTATTCTTGATAGATAGTGAACATGCATACATGAGAGAGATGGGAGAGAGAGCCATACCCTTGACAAGGTATTATAATGCTGTGATCTCCTTTCCCAAACCCACTAGCTTTAGATTTTATTTCCATTGCAGTAATTTAAATGAGAGCATCCACCCTAGTGCAAACTCAGAAGTTTATATTGTGGAAGTTATGTGAAACTTCATATATGATTACTGAAAATATACAAAATTTGAGGCTGGCAGGTGGCATGGTGGTTAAGGTTGCTAGACTCCCACATGGCTGACCACAGTTTGAATCCTGGACCTGGCAGCTAGCTTTACTTGCTCTCCCCAGTCTCTCTCTCTCTTTCTCTGACTCTGCCCTTCTCTGGCCAAATTAAAATAAATAAATAAATAAAAGGTAAATAAAATAATTATTTTTTTAAAATACAAAATGTTTTATTTTTCTGGAACATTCAAAGAACAATTACCTGAGAGACTGTGCCACTATGTTTTCACATATTGTCAGACAATGATTCACACGATCTTTCTTGGTAGCTGAGAGTTCTTTCTTTCTATTAAAAAAAAAAACAAAAAGAGGAAGAGAAATAAACGTTTGAATGATCTATTCCACTTCTACACATCACTCATTCACTCATTAGATTTTCTTCACTACAAATAAACCATTATATGCTGGGGTGGGGGGACAGGAAAACATAGATTAGCTTAACCAAAGGCCTCTTAATTATAATGCTCACATAAAAATCAGGTGATGTAAATAAATCCCCTTATTTTCCCTATTAGAGAGAAAAAACAAAATTGGCAACAATGACTTGCCCAAGATCACACACAAATAGAAAGTAACATAGCCAGGACTTAAATTCAGTTCTTCAGGCTTTAAATCTACCCTGCATTTCACTAATTCACAATCAATTTCACATTTTTTTCACATGTAAACATCACTGAAACTGGAAATTTTTTTAAAGAATTATTTAATTTTCATTCATTTATTTTTTTTTTTAATTTGACCAGATAGACACAGAGAAAGAATGAAAGAGGGAAAGTGAGAAAGCAAGCCACCAGATCCAGGACTCAAACCGTAGTCAGCCATGTGGGAGTGTCCAGCACCTTAACCACCAGACCACCTGCTGATCCCCAAAACTGGAATGTATTTTATATCCAAAGGTATGTCATAGTTTAATTTGCAGTTTTGTTTTCTTTCAGCAACAGAAAATGATGGCATGGATTACAATGGACAGAACATTCAATTCAATGAGACAAGATAATATAACACCTATTATATGCTTCCATTTCTCAAAATGATATTTTTAATTAACTAGAGTCAGTGTAACACATAGACTTCAGTAATGTATAAGCAATTACTAACTGCTTCTATATCTCCAAGCAGTTGGAAATAAGGCTCCTATTAAGACATTCTGTGCCAGCAGATGGAGTGGCACTGGATTCTCACATGTCTGACCACAGTTTGAGTCCTAGACCCAGTGACTTGAAAATCACAACAAATGATTGATTAAATAGATAGATAGATAAATGTATGTATGTATGTATGTATGTTGGGGAGTGAGGGTGCTCAATCACATAAAAGGGATTAACAAGATGGTCAAGAATACCAGACAAAAGGTTCTTCCTTCCCACACAAACCCATGGCCTCAAATGTTTTCAAGGCTGGCACTATGAAAATAACAGAAAGGCACAGGCTCGGGACTGGCAGGTGGCATAGTGGCTAAGGTACCAGACTCCCACATGGCCGACCATGGTTCAAGTCCCTAACCTGGTGGCTTGCTTCCTCACTTTCTCTCTCTCTCTCTCTCTCTCTCTCTCTCTCTCTCTTCAAATAAAAAAGAAATTATAAATAAAATTAAATAAATAATTCCTTTAAAAAAAAAAAGAAAGAAAGAAAGAAAGGCACAGGCTCCATGGTACAGCAGTGATGTGTCGCTTCAGAGAAGACAGATTCCCACATGGTGACTGAGGTTCAAATCCCTTAGCATGGTCAGCCTGAATCATGCTGGACACATCTGCGAATGCCCAGGATCTAAGGGGCTGGAGGACCAGAAGAAGGAGATTGCAGCATGACCAGACCCTATGGAGGGTGCTCATGGTTCTTCTCCTTCTCCCTCTCCTGTTCACACTCATGCACTTTATCATCATGAATAGAGAAGAAAATACAATAATTTTAAAATAAGGTAGAAGGATGGGACCAGCAGTTGGCATAATTATGGCTATGTCGCTGGACTCCCATGTAGTCGACCACAGTCTGAGACCCAGACCCGGTGGCTTAAACTAATACTGGGCGTGTGTGCGTGCATGCCCAAGATCCCGAGAGGAGAATGGAGGAAAAGGGATTGTGGCGTGGCCATCCCCCCTGGGGGGTGATTTCTCACTTTCTGTCTCGCTGTCTCTCTCTGTCTTTCTGGTGAGCACAATAGCAAAAAAACTCTTTAAAAAAAGAAAAGAAAAGAAAAGAAAAAGGTAGAAGGATGATCCAAAACATGGTACTAACTAGGAACAATAAACCAGAAGACTATTAAGGTTTTGAGGGAATTCTATTATCAAAAAAAAAATTAAAAATCGAACCCAGGAATATCTGTGACTATTTAATCCCTTCATGCAATCCTCAGGCTCCTAAAAGTACATTTGAAGACATGAGGCTATCAAAACTGCAAATTCATTGAGAGCATACCCTATAAAAAGCCACTTCCAATGTGGCTAAGCAAGGAAAAACCTCCAAAGGGCAAAATCAGGGGCCAAGAACAGAGAGGGGAATTTTAATCAGAGAAAAGAAACCTATTCCATGGCAAGCAGGGAGTGGACTTCCCAGTCACTGACCAGTGAAGAGTCTGCCTTAGTATGTACAGTGAATGTGTGTTTCCTGTTCATTTCTTTCCTAAGAGGAACTTTTTTATTCATGAATTACATTGCAAACTATTAATCATTCATCAAAATTCCATTCTTCCCTTCCTGGATGCATGGCCTCCCAGTTAGAAATTATAAGGCGTAGCCTCCTTGCCTAAGATCACACAAATAGAAAGTAACAGCCGGGGCTTAAACTCAGGTCTTCTGGCTTTACCTTCTGGCTTTACCCTGTATTTCACTAATTCACATTCAATTTCACATTTTTTCTCATGTGCTAATATCCTGAGACTAGAATGTATTTTATATCCAAAGGCATGTCAAACTTTAATTTGCAACTATAAATTTGCAGCTAGCCAGAGGCATATCACTTAGTTCTCACAGAGGAAACAGGAAAAGGAGTGACACATGAAACTTCTGCCTCACTTGCTTGCCCTGAGTATCTGCCCTTTTATTTCCCTCTAGTGGAACAAATACGCCTAACACCCAGTTTTTGATTATACAGATAAAGACAAGACTGAAGGGCAACAAGATGGAAGAATCTTGGATACCCAACTGATCATAAAATTTACATTGCATTAGATATTATCAGTAATCTAGTGATTACTGATATAAGGTATATTGTACATAGGTTATAATGCAAGTAGTAAGACTTCTTATTTTGTTTAAGAGAAATTTTTTGCTATAGGGCATATGCACTTGCTAGAGAGACAGAGACAGACAAAGAGACTAAAAGCAAGAAATCACCCCCCCTGGGGGGATGGCACACACAATTTCTTCTCCTCCAACCTCCTCTCAGGATTTTAGGCACGCATGCATACGTGCCCAGCCACGGGGTTTGGGACTCAAACCACAATCGACTATGTGGGAGTCCAGTGATTTAACTATTATGCCATCTGCTGGTCCCAAAACATTTTATAGTAATACACAAGTACTAAATCATTTTATAGAAGACACTTGTGCATCCCAGCTTTAGGTATCCCAGGGGGTCCTGGAACCAAGACTATATGTAAAATATACCTCAATTTTTAAAAAAAAGACAGTGCTATGAGAAAGTCCATTCTTCTTTAGACTATTAAGTCATCAGGAAAATCATGACATATTTTTCTATGCAAAAATGCATCATGACTTTCCCAACAACCCAATACTATATTAAAATCTGTTACAGCAGTTTAGATTTTACCTTGTTTGAGACAGCCATGAGGAAAACTAAAAAACACTATTTTAGGAAAAGACTAACTCACCTGCCCATTACCTTCTGGTTTCTTTTTGTTGGGGGAGAGGGATGTAATATACTATTTTATTTTGTTACTCAAATAATTCCAGCTTTGGTCACTAGGAGCTCCTTCAGTTGGTTCCTGTTTCTCTGACATACCCTCAATCGCTGGGATTTTTTTTTTTTAATAAGTATTTCTCTGGGTGGGGGGGGGGGGGGGGGGGAGCTGTGTGGGGGGGGGTGGGGGGGGAAGGGGGTACAAGATGCTCCAGGCTCATCTTGTTGTATACTTCTTGCTCCAGTCCTAAAATCAGTAATATTTTCCAAGGAGTCCTGGTTCCTTTCATTAGAAACCAAGATCGAAGCTCCCATTCTAGTTATTTTCTGGCCACATAACTGCTAACAGAGATGTATCATTCTGGCTCTAATGAGGTGAACTGAGAGCAGCAGAAGAGTTCAGCTCTAAAGAAAAACAATCCCTTAAATTAGTTTTTCTTTAGGTTAAGTCTAAACAGAAAAAAACAAATGCAGGAAACCAGCAGTTAGTGTAATGGCTATGTCACTGGACTCCCACATAGTCGACCGCGGTTCGCGTCCCGGACCCGGTGGCTTAAAACTCACGCCAGGTGCATGTGCGTGCGTGCCCAAGATCCCGAGAGGAGAATGGAGGAGAAGGGATTACAGCGTGACCATCCCCTCTGGGGGGTGATTTCTCGTTTTCTGTCTCTATGTCTCTCTCTGTCTGTCTGGCGAGCACACGCGCCCTATAGCGAAAACCTCTCAAAAAAAAAAAAAAAAAAAAAACAAATGTAAAGAATTTTCATTATAAATTAAGTAGGTCAAACCATCCAGCTTGCTGTATTGTAAACCAATGCCACATAGTGTTACAACTGAACTGCAGAAAGATCCTTAGAATAACAGTGTCATCTTTCAAGGGTCATTAGGGAGAATACTGATCTTTATCTTCAGCTTTGCCCCAAAACGGATGCAGCATGGTATATTCCTGAAATTCATCCATGATATTGAATGTATGTATACTCATGCCTGGCTATCACATGATGACAATTCTGACAGATGATCCTAAATTACTATTTCTTCTCCATCTTCTTCTTTCAAAGATTTGTCTGTAATCAGCATACAATCTCGCTTATTACACACTGCACTGTCTATAAGCAAGAAGAATCCATTCTCCAATATCCCTAGTTGGGATATTCATTCTCCACATAGTCCCCACACATCCAACGAGGTTAGCAGGGAATGTCGTCCAGCTCTCCCCACCCTTTGGTTTCTAAAGTGAAAATCTGCTCAAGGCTTTAAATGATAAGTGAATTCAAATGAACAGTCTCTGGGACCAGCAGTTGGCGTAATGGCTATGTCAATCCCCATGTAGTGGACCACGATTTGAGTCCTGGACCCGGTGGCTTAAACTCATGCCAGGTATGTGTGCATGCATTCCCAAGATCCAGAGAGGAGAACGGAGGAGAG